TTATCAATTACCATATCAATATATATCAATTACCATATCAATATGGCGGACGGTCACGTTTTTAGAGCTCTTAGATGCTGGATCATTCTGCTTTATTTCTACGTTTGTTTCTCTGGTGCACTCCTTCCCAAGGCTAATCCTGACCTCGATATATCTGGTGATACTCTTCTCTTCATTTCTCACGGTCTGACGACAGTGAGAATTCAACCTTTTAACCATCGGTCACCGAGCTCGCAACATGCAAAGAATCTCCAGTTGCCGAATTCAAGACTTCTACTCCTTGGATGCCGTTTTGCGATTAATTCCTCTCTTTCCTTACTACTCATTCGTCTCGCAAATGATGTTGAACTTCAACCTGGTCCTGTTGGCTCCTCTAGTTCACATGACATCCTGTCTGATCTTCGGGATTTGTCAACGAAAAATGGGCTTACAATTATTCATCAAAATATCAGAGGCCTCGTGGCGAACAGGGATAGTCTATGCCAAATGATCGATGATTCCAAGCATATAGACATCATATCCCTCAGTGAGACTCATCTATCGGACAGTGAAGAGGCTCAAGTTCAACTGGATGGCTATACGTTCATTAATAGACCAAGGAAAACAGGCAAAGGTGGAGGTGTGGGAGTTTATATCTCCTCTTCTGTCCCCTTTCATAGAAGACTAGACCTGGAACGCGATGGGATCGAATGTATCTGGATAGAAATTTTATTTCCAAAATCTAAGGGTATCCTTATTGGTTTTATTTATCGCCCCCGAGTTCTTCAAAGCATCTTTGTGCAGATTTTGAAAATAAACTGGAGTCGATGCTTTCTGCTGTATCATCTGAAAACAAAGAATGCATTTTGACAGGCGATATCAACTGCAACTATTTGGTAAGCTCAGACAACAAAGAACTGAAGGCAATGCTATTGTCTTTTGGCCTTAAACAGCTAATCAAGGATCCCACGAGGGTAACGCAAGATTCAAAAACACTGATAGATGTGATTTACACAAATCGCCCTCAGAATGTTTTATAGTGTTAAAGTCATTCCCGCCGGCTTAAGTGACCATGATATGATTGGTTGTGTCCGGAAGCTGCATAACCATAAATTCCAGCCAAGAACCATCACCTGTCGAAACTATGCTAATTATGATCCTATATCCTTTTGCAATGATTTACGGTCCAATAGTTTCACACCTGTCTTTAAATCCTCCTGCGTTAATGAAGCATGGTCTTTTTGAAAGCCATTCTGAAAGAATGTATTGATAAGCATGCGCCAGCTATAAAGAAGAGGATCAAAGGGAAACTCAGCCCATGGCTTACACAGAAGGTAAAGCAAGAAATGAATACCAAAGATCAGCTTTTGAGAAAAGCGAGAAAGACAAATCGTGAAATTGACTGGTCTTCGTACAAGCGCCAACGAAACAAAGTTAACGGTATGGTAAAAATTGCAAAAGCAGGTATCACCGTGAACTCTTAGAGGAGACTGTGGGTTCACCTAACAAATTTTGGTCAGCTATTAAAAACTATACCCTACAAAGTCTACAAAGGAACCAAGAGCAGCTTTTCTCGTTAATGAAGCAGTAGAAACCGACAAAGAGGTTATTGCAAATTTGTTCTGCAAATTCTTCACTGATGTTGCGCGATCTCTAAAAAGAAAGATCTTCCCTCTTTGCAATTTTGTCTGGAAAAAAGGCCCTTACAATAGACACCCAGCAGCCGCTAGAGAACTTTGAGTTTAGATCAGTCTCGGAAAAGGTTGTCTTTAATGCATTAAAGAGCCTTAAGAGAAATAAGTCCTCTGGCCTTGACAACTTTCCTTCTGGAATGTTAAAGGACTCTGCTGATATAATAGCCAAGCCTCTCACGCATATAATTAACCTGTCTCTCGCAACAGGGTCTGTACCTACTGACTGGAAAGCGGCTAAAATTGTACCACTTTTTAAATCTGGTTCAATGGCCGAAATCGACAATTATAGGCCTATTTCAATACTTCCCTCAATGTCAAAGATCCTGGAGAAAGTGGTATTTAAGCAGCTGATGGCTCATTTTGAACAGAATGGTCTACTTTCTCATTTTCAGTACGGCTTCCGTCGCATGCGCTCTACTGAACTGGCCGTTACTCATCTTACCGATGTTATCAGAAGAGAAGGTGAGAATGGTAACCTGACAGGCTGTGTTTTCATCGATCTATCCAAGGCGTTTGACACCATCAGTCACTCTGGCCTCCTGAGCAAGCTTTCAACTTACGGAGTTCGTGGAACAGAACTCGCATGGTTCACTGATTACCTTTTCTGCAGATCACAAGTTGTCCAATATAAAGGCGTGCTATCAGAACCTCAACCCATTCTCACAGGTGTTCCTCAGGGAAGTATCCTGGGTCCTATCTTATTCATTATCTTTTTCAACGATGTACATAAACCGCTTCAACACTCGAAGATTATCACTTATGCCGACGATTCAGTCATCTATACCTCTTCTAAAGATATTGATACTATACAGAGAAGCCTTAGCGAGGATATGAATAACCTGTGCGAGTGGTTTAAAGACAACGAACTGATCATTAACCTAAAAAGGACAAGACGGAGTCTATGTTATTTGGAACAGCTAAAAGAATCAACCTTCAAGACAAGGAACTTAAACTTTCTGCTAATGGGTCACTCATCAATAATACCTCTACCTATAAGTACTTAGGTGTTCACCTTGACTCATCACTAAACCTCGCATCACATTTTGACCGAATCTATAAAAAGCTGCAACCAGAATCAATCTCTTGCGATCAATTCGTCCTTTGATCGACAAAAAAGTGTGCAGAATCGATCTATAACACTATGATCGCACCTATCTTTACCTATTGCGGAACACTTGGTCTTAGCTTTCCGGATTACCGAAAGGAAATGATAAAGAACATCGAACGACGAGGCTTTAAAGTTATCGGCAATAGTTCTTTTAATCCCCCATCCGTGAACAATTTGATCAAGCGTAAAAGCTGTCTGTTTGTTTTCGACTGTCTCCTGAATAATGTTTGCACACCCTTTAAGAACTACTTCGAAAGGCTGGTTCATTCTAAGGCCACTAGGAATAACGGTATATCAGTGAAATTACCCAAAGTTCGTTTAGAATTTGGTAAAAAGAGCTTCTATTACCAAGGAGCAAAGACTTTCAACAACCTGCCTGCTGAACTAAGGTCGTTAGACTCGAGACTGAAATTTAAGAACAAATTGCGAGATTATTTTAGTTAAATTCTATCTAAACGTGGTTATAGGTATCCTTTTCAGAGTATTTTTATTTAATTTTTAATTTTTTTTTTCATTTTATTGTATGCTTTTCTAGACCTTAAGATCAATGATTATATCTTGTTAAATTTTATTTTATTATTTTATTTATTTATTTATTATTTTTGACAGGACCCCAAGGACAACAGTGTTACACACTGATGGGTTTCAATCCTGTATAAAAATTCGTTATTATTATTATTATTATTATTATTATTATTATTATTATTATTATTATTATTATTATTATTATTATTATTGCTACAGACTGAGTTCAGTACACACTAGATATATTGACTAGAGTTGCGTGACCATGGCGTCCAGGGCACACACAAAATCCAACTTCTCACGTACTCCTGCAATGTTCAAGAATCGTTGAAGTTAAACTCCCTTTGAAAAGTAAGCGCGAGTCAGAAAAGAAAAGATATGAGAGCTCAGCAATCGACTTTTAATGCACATCATAACACTACGTAATACTATTAAAATTCAGGCTCACCAACACGTGCAAACTGTGGTAAACCGGGAGGCCGGTAAACCGTGGTAGAATCCAGTCTCGCTCTTTTAATTAACACTATCATGAACGACAAAGAATAAATGCAATATCGGCAGGGAAAAAAGAGGAGAAACTTACCGAATCGGCTCTGCTTTACGGCAAGGCGAAGTGAAGACTCTTCCACACAGCGACTACACTATGTAATGGTTTCGCGCCAGTCTTCACATTCGATGACGTCATGCCCCCAGCAGAGCGCTGTTCCATTTGCGGTTTGTATTTTTGGTGGTTTCGGCGAGATGCCTTGGCGGCCGTTACCACCAAAAATACAAGGATGTCGTATAGATCAGCAAATACAAAGATGGCTTAAGGATCAGCTGCAGGATAGCATAGCTAATAAAGGAATGGCATGGCCTTCACGTCACGCCACGACGATTCGCCACAACATCGAAATATTTCAAGTAATACTAAGCAATTTAATGTTCAGATAGAGCGTCTGATGTTTTGCAAAGCTATTCGACCTAACGCTACACTATTTGTGTCTACGCTGTACCATTCTACATTACGCTGAGCCATTTCACGCAACGCTACACCATTTGGGTGTACGCTGTACCATTCGACATTATGCTAAGCCACTTCACGCAACGTTACGCTGTTTGTATGTACGCTGTACCATTCGACATTACGCTAAGCCATTTCCCGCAGCGCTACACCATTTGTGTGTACGCTGTACCATTCGACATTATGCTAAGCCACTTCACGCAACGCTACGCTGTTTGTATGTACGCTGTACCATTCGACATTACGCTAAGCCATTTCCCGCAACGCTACACCGTTTGTGCGTACGCTGTGCTACTCGACGTTACCCTGAGCCGTTTAACGCAACGCTACACCGTTTGAGTACTGTATTGCAAATGAGTGCCAAGCTATTCGTAATTGAGCTAGTCCATTTCACAATCTCATGTTCCAACTCAACATGGGCTACTAGACCGTTTCTCATTTGGCTAAACTATTCATGTTTAGGGTGTTCTGTTTCACGAAGGAAAACTAGACTGTCTATAATTTGGCCATGCCATTCCTTTATTAGCTATGCTATCCTGCGGCTGATCCTTACACCATCTTTGTATTTGCTGATCTATTTGACATCCTTGTATTTTTGGTGGTGACGGCCGCCCATAAACAACACACAGACTAACGTCTGAAAGATAATCTGGGAACTCAAGCTCGTGTACATGTGTACCAGGTTTGGTTTGTTTAAGTTCAAGAATTGGAGAGTCTGGCACCTCTCTTTTTCAGCGATGGATTCCTCGTCGCTTGACTGGTCCGAATCACTCATTTCGTCTCTTTTCCTCTTACGAGACGTTTTATTCTGAGTAATAATAATAATAATTTATTAGTTGTATAGCCCTATTTACATGTACAGATCAATAGTGCTTTACACTGAATAAAAATTAAAAACCTTATATATCTAAATAAAATTTACAATAGTAATGGTAGCTAAAAATATATAAGAATAAATTATTTTAATGTAATATATCTGAGTTAATGATTACTAAAAGCTTCATTAAACAGAAACGTTTTAATAGCTTTTTTAAAGTTATCCAAACACTTAATCATTCTAATTTCATAAGGAAGTCTGTTCCATAAGTATGGTGCTGCCGCCTGAAAAGACCGAGCTCCAAATGTCTTCAGCATCTTACCCTTAGGGGGCTCTAAGTAAAGACCGTCATTAGATCGAAGACAATAAGAAGATTTTGATTTAATAGATATAAGGCTGTTAATATATGACGGAGCTAGATTATGAACCGCTTTAAAAGTAAGTAGAAGAATTTTAAATTTAATGCGAGCCTGGATTGGAAGCCAGTGTAACTCATACAGAATAGGAGTAATATGCGAGTACCTTCCAACGTTCAATAGCAGTCTTGCGGCTGCATTCTGTACACGTTGTACTTTAGCTATCAGTTCCTTTGAGGCACCATACAAAAGACTGTTACAATAATCTAATCTATTCGTTATAAACGCATGAACTAAAGTATGGAGACTGTCTTCGTGTAAATATTTCTTAATGCTTCTAATGTTATGAAGATAAAAGAATGCAGATTTGCAAATATTTGTAATATGCTTAGACATGCTTAGGTTAGCATCCAACCAACAGCCTAGATTTTTAACCTCGGAGCTATTATTAATTACCGAGTTGCCAACGGAGATACTGATTGGCTGTAGTTTAGATAATTGTTGTTTGGAGCCTATTAAAATCAGTTCAGTCTTTCTATCATTAATTAACAGTCTATCATGAATCATCCACTTCCTGATCTTTTCAATACAGTTCTCCATTGCTTGCAAGACTTGGTCTTGAGATGTAGTATTAGGTTTAAAACTCAGATATAACTGGGTGTCATCAGCATAACAATGAGCACAAGGAAGCTCGTGTTCAATGATCTTAAAGAGCTTAGATGCATATATAATAAATAGAATCGGTCCAAGACACGACCCTTGAGGAACTCCGCAGCCTAAATCGAATGGGTTAGATATCGTTCCCTCGATGTCGACTTTTTGCATCCTGTTATGGAGATATGACTCAAACCAGCTCAGGGCAGAATCAGCAATACCTAATTCTTGGTGTAGACGTTTGATCAGTATATCATGATTAACAGTGTCGAAGGCGGCACTAAGATCCAACATGACAAGAAGAGTGACCTCTTGTGAATTCATCTTCATTAAGATATCGTTAACAACTCGAAGAAGCGCTGTTTCGGTACTATGTCCTTTTCTGTAAGATGATTGCATTTCTGGATAAACAGAATTGTCTATCATGTGTAAATGAAGTTGATTATACACCGCCTTTTCGGTGAGCTTCGATATGTATGGCAAATTACTAACAGGTCTGTAGTTACTAAGAAGTGGATCAAGACCAGCTTTTTTGAGCAACGGCTTAACAAGTGCACATTTCCAGACATCAGCAAACACACCATCCACGAGGGATAGATTTATCATTTTTGTGATCACGGGAAGCAGGACATCAATGCAGCTAAAAACCAGTGAGGTGGGCATCGGATCAAAAGAACAGCTTTTCTTTGCGCTACCTTCGATAAGTTTCCGTACTTCGAGTTCAGAAAGTGCTGTAAATTTACTAAATTTGGGGGTTGGTGACAATGTATAGTTTCCATTGCAGATTTCATAGTTGAAATCATGTCATTCATAGAAGATAGCGAGGGTTGATGAAGGTCTTTCAGTTCCTTCAAACCAAAAACATGCAAAACATGACAGGATTGCCCTGTGGACATCACACTCGAGCGAGTGACCGTATTGCTAGCGATATTTTTACACGCTGCCGTATTCTTATCTACAGCCTTTCCGGTAGTAACTGTTTTTCCTTTTATTTCAGAAATTTTGTTACCGTCCCTTGTTGAACTCTGTGAGTTCAGGACATTATCTGCTCCAGTGTTTTGGTGGGCACCATTGGCCTCGCCATGTGCTGAGATTTCGGAACGAGTCACGGCTGATTGGAGCATATTGAGACCATGAAAAGTTGCAAAATTAAGTCCTGTGGACTTCTTTTGCTGTATGGAAGACTTTTTTTCTGTTTTCAAGATGAGAATTTGAATTTTAAGCAAAATTTCGAAGATCTTGTCAAAGCACGTCCCCCAGAGAGCGGGAGGGAGATTCGTGTTGGTCTCTGGGATTGGATTGCGCAATCTCATGGGTTCCCTGTACCGAATGACGACGAAATTGACGAATGACGAATAGGAGAT